CAGAAGTTGTTCCATCACTGGAGGTTTTCAAGAAGAGACTGGACAACTGATGATGATGATGATGATGATGATGATGATGATGATGATGATGATGATGATGATGATGATGTTGGAAGGGACCTTGAAGGTCATCTAATCCAACCCCCTGCTCAGGCAGGAAACCCTATACCATTTCAGACAAATAGCTGTCCAGTCTCTTCTTAAAAACTTCCAGTGTTGGAGCATTCACTGCTTCTGGAGGCAGGTTGTTCCACTGGTTAATTGCTCTAACTGTCAGGAAGTTTCTCCTTAGTTCCAGGTTGCTTCTCTCCTTGGTTAGTTTCCACCCGTTGCTTCTTGTCCTGCCTTCAGGCGCTTTGGAGAATAGCTTGACTTCCTCTTCTTTGTGGCAGCCCCTGAAATACTGGAAGACTGCTATCATGTCCCCCCTCGTCCTTCTCTTCATTAAACTAGACATACCCAATTCCAGCAGCCGTTCCTTATATGTTTTAGCCTCCAGTCCCCTAATCATCTTTGTTGCTCTTGTCTGCACTCTTTCTAGAGTCTCAACATTTGTCTGAAATGGTATAGGGTTTTCTGCTTGAACAGGGCTTTGGACTAGATTAGAAGATCACCAAGATCCCTTTCAGTTCTGTTATTCTGTTATTCTGATTTCACCTAAATAGTAGGAAGAGCTTCCTTCTGTTGATGTTGATACAAATTATCTTGAAAGGTAGGATAATCTTTCATGGAAAATAACAACTTATCAGGATAGTCGTAAGGAGCAGCGTTCTTTCATCAACATTAGACTGGACTTAGTTACTTCTGAAGTCCTTTCATATCTACAAGATCAAGAGTCTAGTTGATACAGGAAGTTCTCAACTTAAAACCATTTGTTTAGTGACAATTGAAAGTTATAATGGCACTGATTTATGACCGTTTTTCATGCTCACAAACTTTGTAGCATCTTCATGATCATGTGATCAAAATTCAGACACTTGGCAGTTGACACATATTTATGAGGGCTGCGGTGTCCTGGAGTTATGTGACCAACTTTTGCAAATTTCTGACAAAGAAAGTCAATGGGAAAGCCAGGTTTACTTTATAACCGTGTTACTAGCTTAACAGCTGCAATGATTCAGTTCAACAACTGTCGCAAGAAAGGTCGTAAAATGGGTCAAAACTCACTTAACAACCATCTCACGTAGCAACAGAAATTTTGGGCTCAGTTGTTGAGGACTACCTGTACCTCTTTAAGCTTTTGTGGTTGAATATTGTTCCTTAGCTGACAGAGCAGGAATGGTTAATCTTTTCATAGCTGAGAGTCATCTTGTAGGAGGGAAGGAAGGAAGAGAGGAAAGTGTTTAATGCTTTATTTAAAATAAATAAAATCAGAATGCATTTCTGAATTGCAGTTATTGTAGGAGATGACCAGACTGAGCCTGAGGGACGGGTCAAACATGTCATAAGTCTTGAATCCCTGCGTGCCCGCAAGAGATCTAAGTCCAGCCACCTCTCATCTCCCAGTTATTTCCCTTGACTGTTAGTAGCTCAGATTCTTGTAGAGAGCTTAAGCTTGCCATATATCTTTATACTCATTTGAACTGCCCGAATCTTCTGATTTCCCCAGCGCTTGACAGTTATTTCATATTTGGTGCTAAACTCAAGACAAAGAGCCAACCAGCTTCAAATAATGTGCTTGTTAATTCTTCTCTGCCCGCAAAGGAATCCACAAGGACACCAACTCCTTCCCATTTTCCCTACACAAGTCGCAATCATTTAGCGTCCTTCTGACATCCTGTTTTCTCACTCGTGAGAAAGGCTTATCAGGAAAAGCGACTCCCTTCCCTTCCTTCCTTCTGGGAAGAGTAAAAACAAGAGCTGAATTGGGACCCCAACCCGCTAGCTTCTTCACTAGATTATAAAAATAAGGGTTCACCAAGTCATGGTGGCAGAAAAGGATGCTGGCCATCTGCAATTCTCTACAGCTATTCATCGGGAGACATAGATCCCAGGAGAATAACATGTTTTTGATTACTGTTTTTACCCCTGAGTCCAATTACTAGTTTCTAAGTTTTCATGTGGGAATGAGCAGGCTAGGTTAGCAACCCAGTGAGTTCTTGAGAATAGATTTGGGGCAGGAAAAAATAATATCCTGTTTCTTCTATTTCTTCCCCCAACAATGAGAAGTGATATCCTTGCTTAAAAGTTCACCTTTGTGGCACTGAGACAACTGTGTTGTAGATCGTGGGTTGCTGTTGTTGTTGTTGTTGTTTTTGATGCAAGGTTGGAAGGCCATAATCCAGCTTCCTTTTATGTGTGATCAGGCATAAAAAGAAGTCAAGACCTGTGGGCAGATGGATGTGGCCACTGATAATTAAGCCAAATTGGGAATAATTAAATAGGACAGCTTTGGTATTGTCAACAATTCTTGGTAAATACCAAGTTACAGATAGTCTTCGACTTACGATCGCATTTGAGCTCATAATTTATGTTGCTAAGCAAGACAGTTGTTAAGTGACTTTTGCTCAATTTTACGATATTTCTTGCCATAGTTGTTAAGTGAATCACTGCAGGTGTTAAATTAGTAAAATGGTTGTAAAGTAAATCTGGCTTTCCCGTTGACTTTGCTTGTCAGAAGGTCACAAAAAGTGACCACATGACACCAGGACACTGCAACAGTCATAAGTACATGCCAGTTCCAAGCATCCAAATTTTGATCATGTGACCATGGAGATGCTACAATGGTTTTAAGTGTGAAAAATGGTCATAAGTCCCTTTTTTATGCATTGTATGTTCAAACAGTCACTAAACCAATAGCTGTAAGTTGAGGGCTACCTGTATATCATTATCTCTTTTGGCAGTTCTCACATTTGCAATTTTGGAAATGTTTTGTGAATAGTCTCCCAAATTGCCTGTTTGTATCAGGTTACACCTTGCCTCTTTATAGGAGGACAAAATGGTGAGGTTAGTCCTTTTCTTCTCTAGACCAGTAAAGTGTAATCCAACAACTCTGACTACTCGTGTCTTTTGGGAAAAAAGAAGAAAATGGAATATTTTCAAACAATGTACAGGGCTATACTATCAGAGAGCGACTGGCTGAGCCAGGGGAGAGGTCAAGCTGGGATTTAGCCTGGAATCTTTATGTAGGCACAAGAAGGCAAGGTCTAACACACACACAGCCTTCCGAATGCCATTGAATCTTACCTAATCCCAAACTGCCAGTCTGGGAAGATTCCTGTGAAATAGCCACGAGGATTAAAGTAGCTAATTGAACATTTCATGTGTGAATCTGGTTGTTCACAACCGGCATGTGTAGTCCTATCTTTTATTGAGTTATCATGCTTATAAAGGAACTGAAAAGTCCCAAAATTGCTGCTGGGC